AACACTTGTATTTTTTTTTTTTTTTTGTGAGGCCCTGGCTCCCATGGTTAAGAACCATAGCACAAAATACAACGATTATTGTTAATAAAAACAAAACCACATCAAAATTATTATTATTATTTTTAAATAATTTAATTAATTAATTAATTTATTTTGAATAACAGTGATGCTGTTGTCTATTGTTGCCAGGGTAATCTTAGTAAATGTCTTACATGATGTGACGTGACATGACATATTTTGCATGCCATGGTATGGTTTTGTGGTTACCATGGAAAAGTACCATGGTTATTTGGACATAGTACCGTGGTATTATTTGAAGTAAGTTTAGTTTTGGTTTAGTACTAGTTTTGGCAAAAGCAAAACATCACTACCATGTTATTATTGTGTGGACGTTTGTCTTGGCTTTACTACTGCACTGTTGACAATTGCTTCCGGTTGTTTGGAGACATTTACCGTAATTTATCAAGTACGTGATCGTATTGTGCACAGTTCCTAAATTTAAACAGACTCACATAATGCGTCGTAAAAATGCATTATATTGTATAATACTGTACTTTATTTGCATAAATAATTATATAAGATGAGACAAATAATGTGTTTGTGTCACTGACGCATGTTAAAATCGTCGACGGAAGTTTATTTATTACAGTAAAGAAAAAAGGCGACATAATTCCTCTTGTCCTTCCCTTTATGTGACATCATGACCAATAAGCGACGTCGTTTCAGGAAAGTGACCAATCAACGGGCGTGTTTCAAAGAGGCGTAGCGAATTTTTCCTTCGTCCGCAGTGACCTCTGTCCCTTTAAATCGTTTAATTCATTTGCCGACGAATATTGTCTCGCGTTGACGCAGACTCTGCTGTCTCGGATCACCGCAGCACTCATTCTCGAAAAAAATAAATAAATAAGAATGGCCTTATTAACACCTCTCTTCGCGTTTCTGTATCATTTGCCGCAGGTTTATAAATGGCTACTAAAACCATACTACATAGCCTCGTTATTTATGTCTGTCGCGTTCCTGCTTGTCCGCAAAACACCTGGGATCTGCGAACATCTTTCGACGCAGCGTGAGGATGGCAATTCATGCGATTTTGACTGGGTATGTATAAAGTAGGCCTTTGGGGTTTTTAACACATGCTGAATGATAACGGATACCGTTAACAAAGGGACTGGGCAGTGGGCAGCAGAATTTGGGGGTCGCTAGTTAGCTGGCAAGAATTTGGAATACCATGCATATAAATGATGCATGTGGAAATAAGAAACATGGCAATGGTCCCGTATGGTGCATCAGTATCATTCACTGTTGTCTTTATATATATTTATTTTTTTATAAAAAATATGGCACACAGTGGAGTCCAAAAGCCTGAACAATACAGCAAAAATGGGCACTGTTAAATACACAGAAATGCACTAACATTTAAATTAATGATAGCCTTTGTTCATTCACTTTTTTTTCAGAGAGAGGTGGAGATACTGATGTTCTTAAGCGCTATAGTCATGATGAAGAACAGAAGAGCAAGTAAGAGTTTCTACCTCTTAAAACACTCTTTTCCATCTTTGTGCATTATTTTCTTTACAGCATTCTTTATTGACATTGAAACGTCAGCAAATAATCCCCATCCGTACTGAATCTGATGTCAGTTTGCCAAAAAAAAAAGCATTAAAACTGTACTATATATATATATATATTCAGTATAATTTATGATGTATTTATAATAGACTTAAATATATAATATATATTAAATAGATACTATTATGATGTTCTTAAGCGCTATAGTCATGATGAAGAACAGAAGAGCAAGTAAGAGTTTCTACCTCTTAAAACACTCTTTTCCATCTTTGTGCATTATTTTCTTTACAGCATTCTTTATTGACATTGAAACGTCAGCAAATAATCCCCATCCGTACTGAATCTGATGTCAGTTTGCTAAGGTTGAATTTGAAGGTTTTGTTTATACACTAAACATTTGGGCACCTGTGAGTCTTTGTGCTCTCAGTGACAGTTGTCATTGTGTTTGTTGTTAAATCAGTTTCCTTTGTCATTCAATGTTTCTGTTAACCTCTCTCCCCCTCCTCCAGCTTTGCTGTTCAACTCGACCTCTTTGCGTGTGCATTTTTTTGTATCACAAAAGCAATGCAATATGAAAATATGTTTGTTTTTTTATATCTTTGCTCCCCAGTTACCATTGAGCAGCACGTGGGGAACATCATCCTCTTTAGTAAAGTAGCCAATGTGATTCTGTTCTTCAGACTGGACATACGTTTGGGGCTTCTCTACTTGACGTTGTGTATTGGTCAGTATTTTTTATCTTTCACAAGATTGCAAACAGTCACTGGAGTCCTCTTCCTTTGAAAGAACTGTAGACTAAAACCAAATATTAGGGAAATGTAGTACAGGTTTATTATTGTTAACTGAATCTAAAAAAAATAAACATGATCTGAAATAAAATATAAAAAACTTTAAACTTATTTTATTTCAGCTAGTTGCCAAGGCAGCACTTCTCATTTTTGTTTAGTTAAAATACTAAAATAAATACAATAATAAAATAATAATGATAAAACTACTTAGACATATTTAAAAAAAATAAATAAAAATGACTATAAAAATACGAAAACTTGAATTAAAATTAAAATGAAAACAGAAAATATACAAATAAAATCTAATTAAAATATGAACAAAAACTATAATAGTATATCATTGATCCTAAAATAACACTGATGTGTTATGGTGGCTGTTAATATTCTCTTATCATTGATGCAGTTTTCCTGATGATCTGCAAACCTCCTCTCTACATGGGCCCTGAATACATCAAGTACTTCAGTGATAAAACCATTGATGTGAGTATGAGTTCATATTAGCCAGTTTGCTTTAGAAACAAGTACTTTAGTCACACTTCATGAGCTGCTGGCTTTCAAAACAAATTTGCACGGAATGGAAAAAGAAGGAGAAGAGCTGAACAATATGAATGAGAATGATTGGGGAGATGTATACTAGAAGAGCACCAGTGATGGGGTGTCTCATTGCATACTAATCGGCGCTGACTTAAAACATCAAAGGGAACTTGCTCGATTGTGCTTGGCTTATTAGTAACAGAAATTCAAAGGCCATAAATGCTCATTACTATTGCAGCCCAATGTTCTTTGCAAATAAGCCATTGGGTGTTAGAACCCAGTGGTAATATACGCTCAAATTTCAGCCACATTCATAGTTGAACTTTAACTTCAGCAGCCTGAGGGGAATATCGTATTCAAGTATATGTTTGAAACGGTTCAGTTTATGCTAGTGAGTGTAGATGATCACTTCTCTTTTGTCTTTAGGACGAGTTGGAGAAGGATAACAGAGTGACCTGGATCGTGGAGTTTTTTGCTAACTGGTCACCAGAGTGTCAGTCTTTCGCCTCCGTTTATGCTGATCTGTCCTTGAAGTAAGAACATTGCTCTTCACTATGGTTTAAAAGTTAAAAAAATTAATACTTGTATTCAGCAAAGACACATTCAATTGATCAAAAGTGACAGAAAAACATAATAATTTGACAAAATATTTCTGTTTCAAATAAATGCTGTTCTTTTGAACTTTCTATTCATCCAAGAATCCTGAAAAAAAAAAACATTTAAAACAGTTTAATGTAATATTTTTCAACTAATGAAAAAAAAAAAAAAAACATTAAGCAGCACAACTGTTTTCAACATTGATAGCAATACAAAATGTTTCTTGATCAGCACATCAGAATGATTTGACTGAAAATTAGAGTGATGGCTGCAGAAACCTCAGCTTTGCCATCACAGGAATAAATTACATTTTAAATTCTATTTAAATAGAAAACAGTTAATTTTAAATGAAAAAATCTTACCGACCTCAATCTTTTGACTGATAGTGTACATCCGTCTGCTCAGCAGTTTCTGTGAATTTAAATATTCTGAATAGAAACAATTCACTTCTCTCTCACGCAGGTACAACTGTGCAGGGCTGAAATTTGGCAAAGTGGACATTGGTCGTTACAGCGAAGTATCCAAAAAGTATGTTGCTCTGCTGTGTCTCACTGTTTCTCTGAGCTAATTCCAACTGACTGTGACAATATGCAATGTTTTTTTTTTTTTCCTTCAGGTACAGGGTCAGCACCTCTCCTCTCTCAAAGCAGCTGCCCTCTCTGGTGCTCTTCCAGGGAGGAAAGGAAGTTATGAGGCGCCCTCAGGTGGACAAAAAAGGACGTGCAGTGTCTTGGACCTTCACAGAGGTGAGGCTTAAAGGGTTAGTTAAAGGTGGGGTAAGTGATTTCTGGTAGCCAATGTTGACATTTGAAATCACCAAAACAAACACACCCCTACCCCAAATGGGTCTTGCCCCTATTTTGGTAGCTCCGCCCCACACATACGTACGCAACCCAGGCAACGATTAGTTCTGTGAAACAAAGCAAAACCAATGTTACACCGTGTCTACACCACTAGACAGACTTTAGCTTTTGCGGCGCAGACACGGTGTTACTCACCTATCGAGAAGAAGCAAAGCAACCTCGGTGTCCGATCACTTCGGAACACAAATGAACATATTTTTTATGAAATCCGAGAGCTTTCCGACCCTGCATAGACAGAAACGCAACTAAAACGTTTTATTTTTATGGCCCAGGAAGTTAGTAAGGACTTCATTAAAATAGTCCATGTGGCATCAGTAGTTCAACCTTAATTGTATGAAGCTATGAGAATACGTTTTGTGCGTAATTAGTGACAGAATTTTTGGGTGAACTATCCCTTTAATCATTTGAAAAATACCTTCAGTGTGAAAAACTTTGTCAAACATCCTTCAAACACTTCAGCAGTCTTTATTTTTTGTATATGTTTCTGTACTATACAGATAAATGTGGTGTGACTAGTTTTTTTTGTTTTTCATTTGTTTCCAGGAAAACATCATCCGCGAGTTTAACCTCAACGAGTTGTATCAGAAGTCGAAGAAGCTTGATAAACCTAAAGGAGAGAAGTTCGAGAGGCCCACTGAATCTGTGTTCGCCCCTGTGCCTGAAGAGGAGGAACCGGAGGCCGAGACCATCACTGCGATGGACACAGAGAGCAAGAAGGACAAATAGAAAGTGCATGCTGCTGAAGAGCACTGTGAATCACTATGGGACTGGACCGGAGTGTGCTAATGTTCAGTATGCAGAGAGAAAGAGTTTGTATGAAGTCATAAACGGAATGATTGTGTTATTGTTTCTTTTTGTATAATGTATTAGTTAAGTGCAAAATCAGTCCAATAATATAGTAAATCCTAATATTAATACATATTTAGATTTCATAATCATTGATATACTGGACACAGTATACACAGACAAAACTGTTATTTGGGACATTGATATTCAATCTCTGTTTTAATTTAATCAAGTTAAACATTGGACATCTACCTCTAATATGGTTGATAATTGTGAAGTGATCATTAGTAAGGGGTTATTTTGTGTTGCATATGCATCACTATTGGGGAACAAACTTTTTATCAGTTCTTTTTCTATTCTACTGTTAATCCTCCCATTCCATTGTAACTCCTAGTATTTTTTTTTACTATTTTTGTGAAGCATAGCTTGGTTTTGTAATGGTACTGACTACTAGACTGAATTCAGTGGTCCAAAAAGAGAGGGTCTTTTATGCCAACAGTTCATGTTATGAACATTTACTAAATCTGTAAGAGTGAGATCTCAAGATAATATTCTGCAAGATTCAGTTGTTACCTTTGACATTGAGACCCAGTTACACATTTCATTTTAGAGAATATACTGCAGTAAAAGTCTTAAATGTTTTGTATACTAAGTTTATTATTTTAATTTTCTTTATGCTGAATGATATAAACTTTTAACATAGCTTTTTTATGTTAAACTGATAGGCACGGAAGAAAGCTGCAGGCAGTCTTCACGTTTTAACCTTTTCCAGTTATTACATTGACTGTTGAAAGCTTTTATCGTCAGTTTGTTCATGTAGAATCGTGTCATTAATTTCCCCACAAAAAACAATATTGTTTTATTTCCCTATTGAATAAACAATTCTTGATTTTTCACTAATATTTAATGAATTGATGTCTGAAAGATGACTAAGTGCTTGGAGTGGTTGTGAACAGTTTTTTTTTTTTTTTTGCCATTCCAATAAAACACTTTGTTCTTCACATCCGGTTTTGTTCAGGTTGTGCATTTGATCTGTTTGCTCCAAATTTAAACTTAGAGTAACCAAGCAGATGTTTGACAAATTGTTCTTAAGCTGAAACAAGCACATCTAAATCACTCATTAAAGCACTCAATTAGCATCTGAAATTTGCATTCAAACAGTCAACGCATTCTCCACAATGACATACTATGTGATGTGGCTACCAAAAATATATGTTACATAAAACCTTTTCTTGATAGACCTTTCAGAACTAACTTCACTAATTCCAGAGTAACCACAGCTTCATCACACGAATAGGCCGTTTCAAAACCATAAAGTATCCAAATACCAAATTCATTATTTCATAAACATTATATTATTTATATACATTTATATAAATATAACAATTAAAAGCGTAAACTTGAGACATAATTTAGACATTAAAAAGGCATAAAAATGACAAAAGCATACAACAAAATTACTAAAATGTTAAAAAAAGTTTATATATTGTCTCAGCATTAAAAAAATTATCTGAGCTGAGATTCATGAAACAAACAAGGGAGCACATCTAACATTTTCAGTATTTTTAGGTACACCCGGTTATTTTCCAATGCTGCAACAAGTTAATGAGGTGCCAAAATATTTTTAGACCTTTTTTCTGATGTCTACATTGACAACAGGCTTTCACAGATTTGCAGATGGACAGATATTTTTTTATATTTTTTTTTTGGTGTGTAGTTTTCTAAAGATTTTGTCTATTAAAACAGGAGCAATGCATAAAGGGAAATTTAAAGTCAAATGCACAACTGATTTATAAAGAGTTTATTACCAATGCTCAAACACACACACGCATACACGTTCACAACCATGTTCACTCACACTGAACTATACAGTACACATTCTTTGCTTTCAGTCCATCTTTTGATCCAAAATATTCCTAGAAGTGTACTCATTGGCTTTTGTATCAGTCAGCAAATACATTCTGTCCTGATTGGCCAGCTCTGATCTGAATATTGATCAATACCCCTGACAAGACAGACGATGACTGAAATGAGTTACAATCTTCTCGAATGCAATAGGTAAGAATTAAATCATTCAAAATAAAAGGCTTTCACTGATTCATAATGACAGTTAACTTCCATTGATTAGTTCAACTGCTGTCCAATCAGAGGGCACTGATATGGTTACCCACCATTCTGTGGCATTGTGAGCAGGAAGCTTTAAATCCTACATGGCTGGCTAGTCAAGGCCACCGGTGAGATTTGGCTCTCACATATGAATAAAAAAAATCGAAAAAACTAAAACTAAAAAAATCATATCTAAGAGGCAGCCAATCAATGTTTACTGTATAAAAATTGAAATGTGTCCCACAGATTGAAATGCTATGATTAACCCTTTGATTACCGGCTGATCTCTCTGGCTAGAGCGGCCATCAGCTCGTTATCCCTCTGTCTGATTAGATAAAAGTCCATAGAGAACAAATATCAGCCTTTGTAGAAAAAAAAACCTTTTTGATCTTATCAATAGCCATTTATAAAGTCATATAAAAGAACACTTTAAAAATTAAATAAAAACATCCTTGAATTTCCAAGGCTCAGAAAACACTACCTGCACTTGAAAGGCTGCTGTCATTTAAATAACACATTAGTCCATTTCCTTATCTTTTCTACCATTTTGCTTCCCTGGTGCTGATTGGATACAGACGCAACATTGTCGCATGCCAATCACAGTGGTCTGAAACGGCTACTGAATACCACAGGTCCCCTTTTGTAAAAATTAAATTCCACCCGGTGAAAAAAAGAAAACAATGACCATTTTTTTCTCTATACAGAACAATTTACACCTTTATGTTGGATAAAAACCTTTTTTTTTTGTTGTAATGTACTGAAATGTTTTCAAGGCAATCCGGTCCTTTGCCGTCACACCGTTTAAGTGTTCCAGCTCCTTACTGGTGAGGAGTCCTGAAGTTCACTATGTCACGGCTTGAGTTGCTCCTGCTCCTCCTCCTCCATGTTATATCCAACCAAAACCTTCTGGTCACCATTACATCCGTTTTAAAAAATAACAGCAGAGGTCTGCTTCAATTTTGAAGAGAAGTTTTCAGATCTTTCCTGTGGGCACCAATAAATGTCCGCCAGACAGAGTGAAGAAAATAATTCCATGGCTCCATTCTTGACAACACGGGTCAGAACAGTGACTCGAGATCTCACACCGATATCTCGTAAGTGGTCCCTCCAACGCCAGTCACCTTCTTCACCCCGCCTCCAGGCTTGTGGGCGGGGCTCTGAGAAGAGCCAGCGCTGGAATACGCCTGACCTGGGCGAGTGGACACGCTGACAGGATTAGAGGGGGACGAGGGGGTGGAAGAAGGTTTTGGCTGCCCGTTTGTCCGACTATACGACTTCATCTGAATCTCGTCCCTAAACCAAAAAAACAGAGAGAAACAGAGACATTAGAAAAAGACTTACATTAAGTATAAACATTTGTATAGTACTTGCACTACTGTTCAAAAGTATAGGGTCAAAATGTGTTGATTTTTTAAAATAATACTTTTATTCAGCAAGGATGCATTTAATTGATTTAAAGTGACAGTAAAGACAATGCTATGATTTATATTTCAAATAAACATTTTTTGACTACACTAAAAGACATTAAACAAAAATACATTAAAAGAATCCTGAAAAAAATGCATCACGGTTTCAACAAAAATATTAATTGGCAACTGTTAATAATAAGAAATGTTTCTTGAGCACCAAATCTGCATATTAGAATGATTTCTTAAGGATCATGTGACACGGAAAACTGGAGTAATGGCTAATGAAAATTGAGCTTTGCCATCTCAGGGATAAATAACATTTTAAAATATGTGACTCTGGAGCACAAAACCAGTCTTAAGTCGCTGGGGTATATTTGTACACAGGGTCACATATATTAAAATAGAAAACTAGTTATTTTAAAAATGGTCTTAATGGACTTTAAAAAAAAAACATACCCACCCCAAACTGTTAAACAGCAGAGTTTGAGAGTAAAGGTATGATCCTGTAGCATGCATTTAACTAAAGCACAAGGGTCTTCATGAAATGTGCTATTTTAGAGTAACGTCATATGAAAGTTTCACTGTCACAGTCAGAAACAGATTAAAGCATCACAATGCAACCAAAAGTAAATCACAACACAGAAGAAAGAATTACGATATGATAACCAACAGTGAAACACATCACAGGATACCTATTATTTCAAATTCCTGTGGCTATGACAAAAATGCATGATATAGATTTCAGTTAAAAAGCCTCCCAGAGCAGATATCAGTTCAGAAAACAAAGTGCATAAAGACAATGAAAATAGTTTAGCCACAGTGGCAAATTCAGCCTTGGCTGCCAGTCAATTTCAATTTCTCCGCCACACAATTTGGAAAGAAAACATTCTCTTAAGCACTGAAGCATGACAGGTTTATTATAACCATCAGCTCTGCTTATCAGCATGCCACTGAAATGATTGTTAATAATGAGGGATCATTGTTTGGTCCTTGGGTTGTTTCCAAATAACAATGCATACATGTCAACTTAAAATACAAAACTCTTATGACAGAATATGGTTCATTTTGTTCTCTCCCTCATTCTAAGCAACAATGTTTCCTGTAAAGAAGATTTATTCTCTGCTTCTTAGTAGACACCGGGTTGATTTTGTTGCTTTTAAAATGCTGACTAATAACTCAGGGCAATGCAGGCTTTCCAGACCTCTAAATGAGCACAGTGATGAAGCTTTCTGTCTGTCTCAGATCTATCCATTTAGTCATTCTGCCAGTGATTAAATTGGATCTGTTTATTCTAGAGTAGACAATATCCAGCTTATCTACGTAGGTCACCATGGTAACAACTTAAGCGGCAGCATGATGTCAAAAGACTTTCAAAATCTATTTTTCCATCTTGTCTCTCCACATAGACAAGTGCTTTATTTGATTCTATTCATGTTTACTATGACATCATGATATGGCACTGAGACAACTAAGGTACATGAGACAACAGAGGCACGCAAAAGTCTGACCCTGTCCTGAATTGCGAGAAAAACTACCTGAAATCTGACCTGATTGTTCAGATTAAACGAAAAGCCAAGTTTAATGTTTATTATTTTTTGCCATTCAAAAAAAGACATAATTAAATGAAATTATGGTGCTTGTGTAAACAAAGCCTTTGATTTCTTTAAAAACTGTAATGGTTGACCAGATATTTCATATTAAAAGGTTGTGTTGTTGAAAAGATGATGTTAAGTTTAATTAGTAATACCTTTAACAATTTTATTTATTATTTTTTTTCTCAAAATTTTAAACTAATACTAAGGCCTGGTTTCACAGACAGGGCTTAGACTAAGCCAGGATTAGCCCATAGTTCAATTAGGACATTTAAGTCATTTTTATTAACATGCCTTAGAAAAAACATTGATGATTGAACATGATTGAACATACTGGTGTGCATCTTGAGACAAAACAAAGGCACTGATATATTTTAACATCAGTCAGTGCAAGTTTCTTTCAGTTGAAACAGCTCAAGACTTACATTTTAGTCTGGGACTAGGCTTAAGCCTTGTCTGTGAAACCGGGGATAAAGTAACAATAATAACAACAAAAATTATAATGGAACTTAAAATCTAAATAATTATAACTGGGCATTTTAAATTAAATAGTTAATGAATGTATTCAATTAAATTTCATTAGTATTATTATTTTGTATTTAAATTTTTATGTTGTTTTAATGTTTAGGCAACGTTGTCAAGATTTTTTTATTTAATTAAAATGAATTTAATGTACAATGTCCTTTAACCATGTAATCAACAATTAATTAAACAAGATAATTGATTTTATGCTATTTTAATTTTACAATGATTCACAAAAGTTCAACACAATGACACCAAGTAGCAGAAAGCAACAGATGATCACTACTGAAAGCGTAAAATTACTGGAGAGTTGCCTAGACAGAATGAGTTAAGACTGGTGGGAAAAAGCAGAAGGAAGAAAGAAGTGAAAGAGATACACTCACAGGAGTCTGGGAGGAGGAGGAGGAGGAGGAGGAGGAAGAGTAGGAGGAAGGATGCAGCAGGCTGCGCAGAGCGTCGTAAGGTTGAGGGGGAGTTACTCACTTTGGCGCCTGTATGCCCCCTACCCCGACCGAGGCTGAGGCTTTGCGGACCAGGCGGTACTGCATCTCTGCAGCAGCAGCGCTAGAGTAAGACAGAGACTTCCCCAGCGGCGGGGGGTGTGGCGAGCGTGGAGGGTGGGTGGTGGTCGGCAGAGGCGTGTCAGTAGAGCGAGTGCGGTATGGATATGAGGGCTGAGATGGGCCCGAGTCAGAGAGCAGAGGGGGTCGAGAGAAGCGGGGTGGCCGATGGTGATGGTGGTGATGATGGTGGTGGTGGTGGTGATGGTGGGGTGGTTGAGAGTCATGCAGCAGGCGTTCCCGCTCTCGTTCAGGTGGAGCGGGTGGGGAGGAGGTGGAGCCACGTAGATAGCCGGCGTGTTGCGGGGAGGCAAGGAGGGCGGTGCTGGAGGCACACGGCTGGTGGAGCTCTGCCTCCCGTTGCTGGGCGATCTGTGCCGACAGGTAAGGTGAACTGTATCCAACTACAGGGGTGCGCGGTCGCCCTGGTGACATCTCTGGCACTGCCGACTCAAAATCGGGGCTTTCGGAAGGTGTGAGCAAACTATCGTATGACAGACTGCCGTTCCGAGGAGCCGGTGGTGGCGTCTGATTGGCTAAGCTCTTGTAGCTGGTGGAGGTGGTAGCCTCAGATGGTGGGGCATTGTGAGAAGAGCGAACACTAGAGGACCGCGAGGCCCCTCCGGCAAGAACTGTGGGATCAGAGAAGGAGGGATATGAACGCCCTCCTAGGGAGTATCCTGTGATTCCTGAGCCTGGAGGTCCTCCAGGACCCCCACCTGTTCGCTCTGGCCCGCTTCGTTCAACTCCACCCCCCTCGTGCCCATCCAGACTGGGCTCAGAGCGATAGCCTGGCTGCTGACTGGACTGGAGGAGAGAGGATGAGGACTCTTTAAGACTGTCCCGACGACTCATCTACAGAGAGAGAGCAAGAGAGAGACAGCAAACAGAAGAGTTTATAAAGTTACGAGGGAAATCTGAAAGCTAAATTCAAAGGGACGTCAAGCACAAACCCCTTGGTATGGATCGTGTGGGCCACTGGGGACACATGATTTAGGAAAGCGTTTTCTATAGCTATAATAAAGAGCCAGCATTATGACAGACAGAGAGGCTAAGCTTGGAAAGGCAGGGAACAAAACAAACTTAGACGCACTGAAGGCAGAGCACTGTGGTTTTTCACAGGAGTCTGAATGTGTGTCATTTTTGCATTTGTTTCAGTATAGCATACCACAGAGCATGAGCAACATTAAAAATCAAAAGACCACAACATCTCACTTTTCTTGCCTTGTGGTCTTTGTTGGCAGGAGATAAAAAGCCCTGGGGCCTCATGTATAAAAAGTAAGCTACAAGCAAGCTTGACATTTATCCTGTTGGCTTCTTAGCCTAAAATGGTAGATTTGATTGTAGCCAACTGTAGTCGACCTAAGTGACTGTGCATGATTTATCCATTTAACTCACAGGTACTTCTTATTTCACAGAACAAAATATAGTTCTGCTCATGAATATCTAGTTTGTTTTGCTACTAAATGTCTCAACCAAACCTGAACACTGTAAATTATGATTTTACTTCCAAGCAGACTGATAAAAGTTTTCCTGTTTTGGGGGCTGAGACCAGCCAAACAAGGATCATTCTCTTTTTTGAGTGAACTAATTTAGAAAGTCTTGAAGGTTTGTAGGCCTTACAATTTCAAGTTCAATTTAATGTCACAATATCAGATTTTCACTACACAATTGTTGTGGCCAAAAGATTTCACAATAACATAATATAATCATAATAATATACAGAAACATTTAAAAATAAATAAATAAATCACCTTTAACTTTTCAAAAACATGAGTGTAGGGAAATGGAGAGAGAGTTTTTAAACAAAAGCATACAAAAAGTAAGTCTAACAAAAAACTCCTATACTGTGAATATAGGTAGAGTGTCTCGCTGCTATGTTTGAGTGTCAACCAGTTACTGCCACTGGATTATTTACGATATTATTGTCTGTGGTGTTATATTAATGTTTTAGTTTTTTTTTTTATCACGGTTATCACCAATACCGGTATATTGCTATCGAAAAGGAGACAATTCTTCAACTCAGACTTAAGCCCAACCTTGACCAGCAGGGTTAATACTATTTTTTTTTTTTTTAAATCTAAACTCCGTGTACACAAACTTTTATAATGGAAACTCAGTAAAGTTTTACTCATGAGGCCTCAGGTCTTTCAGAATCAATCAAAATCACATGACGGTGTATTTCTCATCTAATATATCCAAATCCAGCATAGAAGAGCCAAAACGGACACACCCCCACAGCTGCAACCAGCAAATTGTTTTGCACGGTTACTCTGTGAGGAGAGATTGTTTTTTTATGGTTTAAACACTGTAGGCTTTATTAACACTACTAGAGTATAATTAAACAAATGGAACAGATTATATTTATTCTTTTGTTTCAGAACAACCATTTTGTTTGTGCCAATTCTTCTTTTGTATAAGCGGTGGCCTTTTGAGAAAGCAACGCGGTCTTTTTGTAAAGACAACATTCTTATATAATTTATAACCCTTAATTAATGTAAAGATACAAAATAACTACTATGGTGATAAACTAAATAGTGGGAGATTCATAAAACAATGACAATTAAATAGAAACTCAGCTGCATTAACAAGCTGCATTTAAAAATTAATGCATATGGACACTGAAAAAAGACAGATATTAGAGTAAGGAGAGGACCACTGGCACATAATTAAACAATAACGCACACAGACACACAGAAAAAGTAGTACAGTGTAAACTTACTGATACTGTTCAACTGAAAGCCACTGAGTCAATCAAATTGGAGGGGGAAAAACAATTTAATGGATTGAACAAAATGTTAGAGAAAAAAAGACTTAAAAATATGTGGTATAAAGGAAATAATAATTACAGTCATGCAAAAGAATGGGAATGACTTCAAATTAAATGTAGTGAATGTCATCACCATAGATGTGAATGAACACACAGACCTCTTTACTTTGGATAAGCAACACATACTGTACATCAACAGAGAAAAGTTACCTGGTTGGCATAGGCATGTGTAAGGGCAGTGTGGTTCTTGCCCGGACCGCTGTAGGTGGGCCTGTATTTGAACATGGTGGGGGTGGGCGGGGCTTTATTCAACAGACTACTCTCTGCAAACAAAGGACAATGAAAGATCAGATTTAGAGTTGTAAACACATTTTAGTAACATGTTAAGTGAATTAAGCTGACAAAACAGCATTGCAACAGGTAATTACAATCATAAGGCCTGTTCACACCAAAGACAAAAACTACAACTATGAAGTTTTAATAATTGTTCTAATTCTATGAGAACAGATATGTTCCCATCACAACTATAACGATAATGACACAGAGGAACACTATCATTCAAATCACTTTCCGAACAATTTTTCTCTAACTGATGAACATTAAAAACACCGACAATCAGAATTCACAAGACCTTAAAGAGCTTGAGGATTTAAAGCGGCACACAACATAACTGCAGCGCCTGCTTATAATAAACTTATCATGCTTTAGTGTGAATGCTAATATAGTTATTTAGTTGTTTATTTATAGTTATTCTTGATATGATCAGGCCTTAATACTTCATTCTAGGGCTGTCTCAAATCAGTCGATTATTCTGACGATTAATCGGATAATTATAATACTTTTTTTCGTGGTAATAAAAATAGACCCAAGCGAACAATAGCATTTTAAATAACTTAAAATACATATATAATTGCAATGAGGCAATAATAATTAGTTCAAATAAAGTATCAAAAGCAAGTAATCATATGATTTTATTAAACACAACTGTAGAATACATTATGTATTATAAACTATGTAGCTAATGTACATTACGCATTATAACAAATGCCTGCAAAGAGCACCAACAGCCTGACGATTTTTTTTTACACTTTACAGCCCGATCTAATCCTTGTTTAATACTGACTAAACATTTAATTCAAATATCCACTTAATCTTTAATATTTGACCATTTCTGTACGACAGAAATGCTACAGCCACTGTAATTTCCTGAATATGTGGACATCAAAAGCGTGTAAACTCAGAGTGAGGGTTTAAACTTTTATTTAGAAAACGCGATGAACAGTTAGCATATTGAGAAAGATACTTAAGTATTCTCCTGTGTTTGCATAGGTTTATAAATGATTTACTCTACAAATCTGATGAAATGGCACACAGTGCATTCCCAGATGAACATGATAATAAACCCAAACTCACAACAATATGCAGAGATGGAGTTTGAGATGCTCCATCATTTACACATGTAAATGATAACAGTTTGTGTGGAGCAGCATTTACTGTGAACGAAGCCGCTCGGAGACGCACGTGCGTAAACTACACACACGTATATATAAGCGTTTGTGAATTCACAATAGCATTATGCTTTATTATGATTTTAAAATGGGTTTAATATATCATGCAGCCTTGGAAGACGGTCTGATAATGCGGTTCATGGATTCTCGTCCGTCGAATGCGCTATTTCTAGTATTTTGCCGGTTACTCGACACGGGCAAAATGCAATTTTTTTTAAATCGAGTAACTCAAATTCAAATCCTACTCCATTCTAAATATTAATATTAGATTCATAAATGGCTAAATATAAGCAAGAAAGACGAGTAATCAACAAAAGCATCCAAGTATTATGATGACATTACTGCTGTTACATTTTGAAAGCTTAACTCAACACTATTCAATCTAAGTCAAATCTTAAATGTAAAGTAAATTTAGCTAAAAAAAATTGCACAAATAAGGCAATAATGATCTATGAACATTTGAGAGATATTAATCAATCAAAATGCTGCTGTAGTTTGTCATGTTGGTTTGCTCTAACCCTCAGAGTGTCCGGCAGGTCCTCGTGACAGCCCAGGGTATCTGAGCTCTGGTTTGGGTGGAGGTGGAGGTGGAGGCTCGGCGTCAGCAGACTGACTCTCCATCAAACTGCTCTTAGACTGAAAGATTGCAAAAAAGAGGATAAAACAGAAGTGGTAAATTAAATAAAGAAACAAGACAAAACAGCTGAATAAAGGTATTTTCTAACTACAGATACAGTGCCAGATAGGAAAAACATTCAAAGCATGACTCCTTTCTCCCCAATGCCAAAGTCACTGAAAAAATTATAGTTGTATCTAAATCGAATATAAAACAAATAGAACAATGGAAACATCATGCTAAACAAGGTTTATAAAAAAAGGTGTGTGTGTGTATGTATATATGAGAGTCCTGCAAGGGTCCTGTTTGATAAACCCACACCAGCAGTAATGAACAGAACACCCGACCCGTTATCCGACAGCAACACTAATTTAATTCCGTACCTGACCCGTTTGACATAAAACCCATGACCTGAACTGCACCCGCATTAAATCTCCTACATGAGGTAGACAAAACTCATTTATTTTCTCATGTAACAAGCAATAAACCACTAGGCATTCTGAGTTAATGCATTTAAGAAAAAAATAACAGACACGCAGCCCAAAATGTTAACAAAAAAAAAACAAAAAAAAAAGAGGGTGACACCCATCCTGTAAACAATATAAAAATATTGCGTACATCATGTGAACAATCTATTTTGAACAAATGTGCATTCTTTGCAGTGTATACGTGACCATTTGTCCTCTTTTTAGCAGCATGAAAAGTAGTCTAAAACTTTTATTCAAATTGTAAATAGATTTAACGGTCTTAAGACAGAGCGTGAACACAAGTATGGGACACTGTTTGAAAGCAGCTGCCTATCAGCGTGCACTGGATTGAGTCAAAATAGTCTTGGCTATTGGACCCACACCCTGCCCGTGCCCGTCACCCATCCAACCTGCACCCGCTCTTGACACATTTAAATATTATTCCACCCGTTACATCAAATATTAGCGGCTCCCACGTGCAGGACTCTGGTGTGTGGGTGTGTGTGTGTGTGTGTATATATAAATATATATATATTGGTGATTTGTGATGAATTCTTTATTAGCCTTAATTAATAACCGTGATTATGATTTGAGAATTGTGATTATCAGTTTAACCATTATCGTGGAAGCCCAAAAAAACAAAAAAAAAAGAGTGTGACACCCATCCTGTAAACAATATAAAAATATTGCGTACATCATGTGAACAATCTATTTTGAACAAATGTGCATTCTTTGCAGTGTATACGTGACCATTTGTCCTCTTTTTAGCAGCATGAAAAGTAGTCTAAAACTTTTATTCAAATTGTAAATAGATTTAACGGTCTTAAGACAGAGCGTGAACACAAGTATGGGACACTGTTTGAAAGCAGCTGCCTATCAGCGTGCACTGGATTGAGTCAAAATAGTCTTGGCTATTGGACCCACACCCTGCCCGTGCCCGTCACCCATCCAACCTGCACCCGCTCTTGACACATTTAAATATTATTCCACCCGTTACATCAAATATTAGCGGCTCCCACGTGCAGGACTCTGGTGTGTGGGTGTGTGTGTGTGTGTGTATATATAAATATATATATATTGGTGATTTGTGATGAATTCTTTATTAGCCTTAATTAATAACCGTGATTATGATTTGAGAATTGTGATTATCAGTTTAACCATTATCGTGGAAGCCCAATAATACCATGCAAGCCTATTTGGCACAGACCAACCAGTGTTAATTTCGTCAACGAAGACGACGACGAAAAATATTCGTTAACGAACATTTTTTCTGTGAATAAGACGAGACGTTGACGAGCTAAAACTAATATCAGATGATAAAACTATGACGAAATTTATGCCGCTTCTTCGTTAACAAGACGAGATGGGACTATAATGTTATTTGAGGACTACCGGACATGCAAAATACATCCTATAGGCTACTGTCTTATCCTTCAAATGTGCGTCCCCGTCATTGGATTGCAATCGGATGAGGGACGTTTGCATATCTAGTCTCAGTATGGCAGCCGCAGTGGATGGATAGGCTACCAAAACGCGAACTAGCGGTCTGAAACAATGGCCTCAGCACCTGAAGGGGTAGGGACAAGGTGACCAGACATCCCATTTTTCCCGGGAGTCACAATTCGTTCTCGATTAACTTAAAGTTAGTGAATGCGGGATAAGTGGAATCGCGCTGATAGAAGTGCTCTCTCTCGCGCACGCTCCACTTCTTCAGTTCTCATATACAGCACGCGATCAGTTCTCAGCGCTCAAATACACACACAGCAGTCCAAATGTCTATCGTGTAGAGTATCTCACGTAAATACAGTCGGTTATGGATTAAGTGAACGTACGTGTGGGTGAAAACTGAACGTGTGTCAGTATTACATGCATGCATTCCGTCTTAAAGGGTCAAAAATTATAAATTATATATTATATATATATATAAATATATATAATTTTTGAAAATAGTTCAACCAAAAATTAAAATTGTCATAATTTATTCAAGTTTTTCCCAAATTCAACTCTTGATTAAAATTTCTCATAAGCTTAATTGATGTGGTCTAAAGAGAGAAGAATTAATAAATATTTTTGTTTGAAGACTACATATAAAATAACTACCAAAATAAATATTGGTAACTGCAGTTTGACTAAAAGTAATGACTAAAAGTTGACAAAAATGCAACAACTTTTCGTCGACTAAAACTACGAAAGACTCAAATGACTAAAATGTGACTAAGACTATTAAGCATATTTTCGTCTCAAGATATAGACTAAGACTAAATCAAAAATGCCTGTCAAAATTAACACTGAGACCAACAAGTTGCAGGGTGTGGCAACATGAAGACACTTTAGGCTTTTTCTCAGGTTCTGGAATATTTGGTGTGCCAACTTTCCATGAGTAATAGCAGGTTGCAGCAGGCACACCTCTGTAATATTTTGGACTAGGGCAATGGTATTACAATAGAGGATGCCAAAAGATTCAGCAACCTTATCAGAGGGATAAGACCGGGAATTCTGAAGCTAATGGAGGAAAAGTGTATGAACATTTCCAATAATCAGTTCCTTACGTTTCTGCACAGTGGTGCACATTTATCAAGCAGCTCTCTCTGGCATTCTGCACCTCCTTCCTCCCTCTTGCTATCAGCGCTTACAATTCAGCAAGCTACAAGCTGAGCCTTTCATTTTAGAAACCATTAATGAAGAAATCCATGCCATGCCAAAAAGCATAACTCCAGGTTGCAATGTTGAAAAATGTCAGAAACATTTAATGAAGTGCTCCAAATTGACAGAAAGTTCCTGTATTCTTTAAGAACATAAATCAAGTGACATTTCAGAACACAGCCTTTCATTATGGAATAAGAAAGTACTTTTGACAGTTTAAAAGCCAGTCTACATTTCAGGCATATTAATGCAAGCCTGTCTGTGTCAGCTGTCCTCAATCAGATGGTAAATGGCACAAACAGATATTTTTTGAGCTTAGTCTGCCAGAGAGGGGAATTGGAGCTTGCTTGCAAAATAATCTAACGCACTCTCTGACCTAGGGATTTTGGCTCCAGCAGGAACATCTGCATCTAAGTGGCAGAGGTAACATTCATGGCCTCATTCAAACATTTAAAGGGGTCATATGATGCTGCTAAAAAGAACATTATTTTCTAGTGTATTTGGCGTAATGAAATGTGTTTATGCGGTTTAAAGTTTAAAAAAAACATTATTTTCCACATACTGTACATTATTGTTTCTCCTCTATGCCCCGCCTTTTTGAAACGCGTCGATTATCTAGTTAACAGATAAGGTTTTTTTTTACTCATTCAAATTCAGACTGGCTTCCTAATGAATCATTTAGAACAATTTGTGATTTGTGAATCACTTAGAACAATTTATTAAAAAAGAACAGACTCTAAGGAACAACTTGCTCACAAAAAAGAATTGCTGATATTTCATTCTAATTGAGAGACTGCTTGTCCAAAAGCAGATTGCTGGACAGAAGCCGTGAGAGCACTGAAGCAAATAAGTAATAAGGCATTATTTCCTTACCCGGTGAAGGTCTCCTTGGATTCCGTTGTCGAGCACCTTGGCTGCCAGTTGAGCCTCAGTAAGCTGCGGTCGGAGGAAAGGAGGCTGAACAGACACTGTCTGAGCCTTCCTCTTTCTACCCAGATACCTAAGAGATCAGAATACAACCTTGTGTTAAAACCTCAATGAGAAAATACAACATATAGGTCAAAGTTATGAAAGCAGGAGAAAACATACCTGGGTGCCTGTGAGCTACACAGAACATGCGAGACGTTCCTCAAGCAGCCGTTTGTGAATGGGTTCACGCCTCCCCTGAACTTCCCTGTTACCTACAAACATAGAGTTGACCATTAAACAATAACCTTAGTAGTTACTTTATCAGTTATTTGTCAATTGAAAAAAAAATTTTTAAACAGTAAAAAGATAAAAGTGAAAAAGTAAACATTTAAAAATAATAAAAAAGGGATGAAAAGAGGCAGTAGAGAAAAATAGTGAGACAATAAGATACAAAAGTGTGCACATGTGGTCAACACATAAAGAGGAGGAGAGATGGGCAGAAAGAAAGCAGGAAACTGGTTTGGGAAGAGGATTAAGACGAAATTACAATCTAAAGAAGCAGGGCTGAGAGGTCATATTTTGTAGGATTATAAAACAGCTTAATAGGGATTTTAATCCCAGTTCACCAACAACAACATGGTTATTGACAGGAAAACAGAAGATTATGATTGCGCATGTCACAACCTGCTCATTGGTGGTCCTGCCTCTTGCCACCAGAACGACATGGAAACCAGTGAGACCCACTACTGGGATGAAGAAAAGCCCAGAGACACACATGACAGCCATACTGATAAAGGGTCAAGGAGGAAACAGTAAATCATAATACAAATCAGTCAAGTTCAGCTCTCACTTAAAGACACTGCAGACACTATTGCACAGTCGCACTCTGAATTTTGGACAAAAAATTTGGTGTGAGCACACATAAAAATTAAACAATTGTTTGAGGATACGTGACAGCCGAATGCACTTTGTCCAGCTGCTGGGTGTGGTAGAGAATGTAAAGCAGGCCGAAGCCAAACACGCCCATTATGTGAGCCGTCAAAGAGAGCAGGAACAGGAAGAAATAACGGTAGTTCCTCCGGCCGATACAGTTGTTGACCCACGGACAGTGATGGTCAAAATCCTGCAAGGAGAGAAGAGGCAAGTTGAGTGTGTGTGAGTCATAATGGTAAAAGAGTGAGAGAAAAGCTTAAGGCTGTCCAAAGCAAGCACACTTCTCTAATTAACACAAATCGATCGTTTAGTCTGCAAAGCATTAATCAGAGCAAGAGTGGACAGACTGATTAACGACAAAGATTTACCCTTACATAGACAAGATAGTAAAATAAATACAAATGTTATGGAATTGCTATGAACTGTAATGTCATGCGTTTTATCAATGCACATACTGGGGTCACAGCTGAACACAATCACTGGAATAAGGTGTGTGTGTGTGTGTGTTTACCTCCACACAGTTGTCGCACACAGAGCAGTGTGAGCAACGCGGGGGTCTATAGAAACGGCAGGTGGAGCACCACTTCATCCGCACTTGAATGCCTCTAATTTCCACAGTCTTGTAAAGAGGAGCCCGAAAATCATCTTCTTTATCCTCATCTTCCTCAGCTACAACACACACACACACAGACAGTTTAACATGCCTTCCTCAGTATATCAAATTACATTTGTATTTTATTAACCTCCTGCTTAAAAGTCAACATGGAATCCAAACCCTGTTTACTTTATGACCTTTGTGTTTCTTAACACACATCTTCTTCTGCACAATTCATCAGTTCATGTTACTCCAAATGAATAAAAACGGTCTTCATAATTTTTCCATAAAATAAACAATAAAAAAAATAATAATATTCCATTTCACTCAGAAACATTAGGGAAGTAAAACGGACTTTAACGCAGTGTTGTTAGTATATACTATTACTCCAAATGAATAAAAACGGTCTTCATAATTTTTCCATAAAATAAACAATAAAAAAAATAATAATAATATTCCATTTCACTCAGAAACATTAGGGAAGTAAAACGGACTTTAACGCAGTGTTGTTAGTATATACTATTATAGTATTGATTAACATTTAAAATTATATTTTATTTTTTGTTTTATTTTTAATGATTTGAGTACTTCAACTTATTTTTATTTTAGTTTAGGCAATATTTCTAATCTTCATTTAGTTTTATGTAAAAAGTTTTTCATCTAATATTTATATTTTATTTTATTTCAATTAAAAACATTAAAAAAAAATTTTTTTTGTTAACAATAAGAACACTGCTTTAAGGTTGATTCCGCTGAAGTTTAGTACACCAAGGTCAGTTCACTGAAAAAATATTATATTCTATTTTCTATTGACTGAAATAGTTCAGACTAAATGAAGAAGAGATAAAAAAATTAAAAAAAAAGATTAAAGTGGCTTGTTTTTCCAATAAGGCAGCCACACATTCTACTGCAGCTGTATACTCTCACACACAGAAACATCATATCGAAGATTGTTTCACTACCTCTGGGGAAGATGCCAGGATCCATAAAGGTGGCCATACAGAAGTTGGCCAGAACAAATAGAAATATAATGCCATTGTATATCGGCACAGCGACGGAAAACTGCTCTGAAAGCCAAGGGCACCTGTAAGAGACAGAAATCACACACTTCATGTATGTTCTATGTAATCTTTCTCAAGTGTGCTAGTCTGCTTAACCATCTTAATTTAGGGAAAAGAACTGGTTGTCAAGGGAACACACTGACTGATAATGTTTTAGCCACTTTCTTACTATAAGTGATATAGACATACAGATAACCACACAATTTCTCCTGGGAAACAGAGGGTACCACAAAACATACAATGTGTGAGAACACAAAAACAGGCAGAAGTGAGAAATAAAAGAAGAAAAAAAGAGAGAGGGAAGTGGCACTTTATGACAGATGCTGTCCTATTTTCATTGCCTTTGAGTGATTAATCTGACGGGTTGGTGAGAAGAGAGTGATCAGAGGGGGCAAATGACAAGAATGAACAGACGTGACACAGCATCTGACTTAAGCCCCCAGATTTCCTCTTCCGTACCAACTGGAAGGGCCGTTTATTTATTTATTTTTGGCATGATGACTATTTCATGTTCCTGCTATATTTACAGGTCACGACTTACAGAATCCAGGTCACAAGAAGTCAACAGGAAGTTGACATGATTTCTCATCAAAAGAAAACGAAAAAGTCAGTGCTCTGACTGCACTTTAAATGCTGATACTGCAAAAACGCACTGAACTTATAATAAAATATATTGTGTTCAGTGGGGAAAAAAACGTTTTTTTTTTTTTTACCCAGACATTTAAAAATAACACATTTTAGAGTTGTAATCGCAATACCGTGAAACCGTGATATATTTTTTTTAAATCTAAGGTTATCGTACCGTCAGAATCTCATACCGGCCCATGCCTAGTTGTGAGTCTTTTGAAAATCAAAATCAAGAAAAATCTGTAGAGGACTGATCTTGTTGTCATTCAAAACGTTAATAAAAATTATTAATAAGCAAAGAGACCTTTTAATACAGCACAGGCAAGGTAAATTCTGATCTTCTAAGCTGTGTGAATTTTTTCTGATATTTAAGAGCCTGCCGTATTGAACATTAACTTATGAACTGTGGATATTATTAGAAGCGTATTCCTTAGACGTAAGCTGTCAAAAATTTCAACAAAAAAAGACAATACAAAAAGACTATTCCAGTTATTTTAATACTAAAACTATAACATTCTTAGATGTGGCTCATTTAATGATAAAAAGGCTGAAAAGTGACAACACTGAAATGATGTTAACTATACTGTCCTACTTAGCAACTGCTGCCATATGATCATCATCAGACAAGCTATTTTGTAATGTAAAATATTGGAATCCTGGATAGTTTTAAACAGGATTTTTAAGAAATTAACCTGTAAAATATTGTTGGTTAAAGCAGTGATAAAAGATGCACGTTATTTAGTAAAAGAATATTAGAAAAAGACATGCATGTTATTTACAATTTTTTTTCTAAATGTTTAAATAAATCACAAGAAGTGTATGCAATCACCCCTCAATCCCAAATCAGTAAGAACACCTTTTTTAACTAAATGTTACTTCATTTAAGTATTAATTCAGGTCACAGATATACTTGGACAGTAACACATGTGCAAACTCACAACACAAAGTATTTATAAAAATGTCAATTGTTCACACAAACTGTATAATCTACAAGGTCGTCTTGATGTGTACACTCATACACTGATATGCAATAAAGAAGGCATTCAAATATTATAACAGTATTTCTTTTCCATTACAGTTTTCATCTAGCTTGGGTGCGTTGCTGTCATACTAACAAGTGAACACACTGCTGTGTTTTAGAGAATAAGAATATCTTAATTAACTGTGCCATTGAAAACCAGTTCCAGGTAGAATAATTTGGTACTTCTGAATGAGTTCTAGCCAAAAACATGCCATTACTCACTCCATAGCGCAGCAATACACTTTTTTATCACTGTTATTTACCAGTACATGCTGACTCATCCATCATAAATGATTGCAGCAATCAGTGTTAGTAAACGTGTCTGTGTACTCACGTGAAGCAGAAGAAGAGGGTGGTTGCTCCAACCAAGAAGGCCGTTGCCGCAGAGACCGGCACGTAGCGACTAGGCCGGAGAGGTCTGGATGGAACAGTGGGGTGGGGCGGGGAAGTGGGTCCAGACAGGCCCCCACTCATGCTGCCACTCGGCATCACCCAGGGGGCAGGATGGCAGCACGCCCGGAAAATTATATGTTTGTAAGTATGTTTGTGTTGTCGAGACAGCACAAACGCAAAGAAAGGCTAGGGGAGAAGTCGTTGTCCTTTTAGCATTATAGAAAAAGGCCACAAGATGAGCATTGTTTCAATAGTATAAAACAAATTCTCAAAAAGTTAAAAATGATTAAAAAAAAAAGGATAAAAAAAAAGTGGTAAACTGAAGAAATTTGAGCTTTTAACAAATTGAGTTAAAGTTTCTGATATTTGGACGCTCTGGCTTATATATTATTAAATCATTTAACAAAAATTGCTCAAAAACTTTAAAGAAAGAATATTTTCTGACTATTTGTTTTCAAAAGGTTTAAGAAAAAGTTTAAAAAGTGCCACAAAAAAATACTGTAATATGGAAACTGCTTAAAAAATTTTTTAATTAAAATTTGGGTCCAACCAGTTCAACTCCTAAATCTTTAGTGGTGCTTTAAAAGTTTTTTTTTTTTTTTTTTTTTATAAATGAGAGAGCAAAAGGTCACACCTTGCCATTACTCACTCCATAGCGCAGCAATACACTTTTTTTATCACTGTTATTTACCAGTACATGCTGACTCATCCATCATAAATGATTGCAGCAATCAGTGTTAGTAAACGTGTCTGTGTACTCACGTGAAGCAGAAGAAGAGGGTGGTTGCTCCAACCAAGAAGGCCGTTGCCGCAGAGACCGGCACGTAGCGACTAGGCCGGAGAGGTCTGGATGGAACAGTGGGGTGGGGCGGGGAAGTGGGTCCAGACAGGCCCCCACTCATGCTGCCACTCGGCATCACCCAGGGGGCAGGATGGCAGCACGCCCGGAAAATTATATGTTTGTAAGTATGTTTGTGTTGTCGAGACAGCACAAACGCAAAGAAAGGCTAGGGGAGAAGTCGTTGTCCTTTTAGCATTATACAAAAAGGCCACAAGATGAGCATTGTTTCAATAGTATAAAACAAATTCTCAAAAAGTTAAAAATGATAAAAAAAAAAGGATTAAAAAAAAGTGGTAAACTGAAGAAATTTGAGCTTTTAACAAATTGAGTTAAAGTTTCTGATATTTGGACGCTCTGGCTTATATATTATTAAATCATTTAACAAAAATTGCTCAAAAACTTTAAAGTCTAAATATTTTCTGACTATTTGTTTTCAAAAGGTTTAAGAAAAAGTTTAAAAAGTGCCACAAAAAAATACTGTAATATGGAAACTGCTTAAAAAATTTTTTAATTAAAATTTGGGTCCAACCAGTTCAACTCCTAAATCTTTAGTGGTGCTTTAAAAGTTTTTTTTTTTTTTTAAACGTTTACCTTATGAAAAAGATTTGGTGTTACTGTACATAAGAGGTAGAGGAGAGCAACGGGTATGAATGTGAGTTTTTTCTTTCTTTTTTTTTTTTTGGGATGCTGAAAAATTAAAAAAAAATATTTTAATTTGATGT